TTTCTTTCTTTCTTTCTTTCTTTCTTTCTTTCTTTCTTTCTTTCTTTTTACAGAAATGCATGTAGCCTTCCAATTTTCCTACATAGTGAACAAGACCATGAATATATAAAATAAGCTAATCAATTTCCTCTATTAATTTTGACTTTTTCCCCCCAAAATAGTGGGGAGAGAGGGAAGAATGCAAAATGTGAAGGTGTGTGTGTTGGTGACCGCACGTGTGTGTATATCACCTGAGAGATGTGAGAACCTCATAGCCGTTCACAGCCAGGGAATCTATTTATTTGACTGAGCAGCGCATTCCTTCTGTCATTACCCAGAGACAAACATCTGCTCATCTAAAAACAAGCGACATGACTTACCAGCTCCTGAAATTGAAAAGGACAGTATTCATCTTCCTTGCAGTACTTGCTACATTGGCACTAAATTTAGAACTCAATGGTTCGAAATAAAGATTACCACATTCTCCATTAATCTTAGCATACTCAAAACCAGAAGGGGGCTAGCTGGAAAACATTACGCCACATTTTCCTAATCTTCTGAAGCCTGATGCCTCTGAAAGCAGCTGCTTCTAAAAGCCTACACATGTTATCCTCCGGACATACAAAATAAATAATGTCTGTCTTCAAATATTTTGTGCAGAGTTTTAACTACCTCTCTCTAACCTATGATTTAAACAGTGCTTGGTAAAATCTGAATATTTCCCTTCTGGAATAGGTTTGATACTGATCAGCCATTACTGATCTATTACGTTATATCATTAGTGGATGCCTTATAACACATCATGTGGCTGACTGACATGTAAACAAGAAAGTGAGCAAAATGACGCTCCTCTGTTGATGCAGGCCAGACAAGTTACCATGCTTGTTGTTTAGGTTTTTCTGTGTTGGGAAGTGTCAGATGAAAGTCACTGTGATACATGATAGGAAGTTATTCACTGCCAACATTTGTTTAGCACCCATTCAGCTCACAGAGGGAGAAATGATTAAACCTCAAGTCTTATCGGAAGTACTCGTGAAGGAGAGAAATTGTGGATTAGATGATGAGGCAGTATTACATGAGAACAGTGCTTATCACTCAGAATATATCTTGTCCACTTGTGTATATGTCTCCTTGTCTGAAAAACAGACAGGCTTCTGAGATAAGGATATGATATCTGATGACCTTATATTTTTCTCTAACTACAGCCAACTGTTCTCCATACAACTGAATGATTTTAGACGGTCTATACTACAGAGAATGTCTACAGGCAAATCAACATATCAACTATGCTTAAGCAAACCATGTCCCCTGGAATCAAACTGTTGATACGTTTGTTAGCTATAAGGAAGATTTTTTTTTGTTCTTTTATTTTTTTGTTTGTTTTTGGATTTGGTTTGTTTGAGAATGCACAATAAGTGTTAAATGTAAATTAAATTTAGTTTAAATTTTTAACAAGGTATGCCTGAAGGCAGTGACACCAAAAAAAAAAAAAAGTGTCAAAATTGCCCATGTACTTATCTGTGTTAATGGCTGCCAGTGGAACTGCAATTTGGTTTGAGAGAATCCTCCTTCAAATAACACACACACACACACACACACACACACACACACACACACATACACATACACACTAAGGGTAAAATATATTCTCCACTCCCCACTCCTGTCACTATTAGATCACCCTGTTTTATTCTCTTTATAGGATTTACTATTATCTGAAATCATCTACTGTTAGTTTGCTATCTTTCTCCTGATTCTAAAAATATGTGTTTCACAACCATCTGACTCAGTCTGTCTCAGGCAATTCTGGGACCTCCATGTCTAGGATGAAGTCTTTCCTGTATGTTCAAATGATGAAAATGAATCAATCAATATTTTCTCCTATAAAGTGGGGAGAAATATTTTATAGGACTGTAAGGATCAAGGGAACAATCTAAAAATATGAGCCTTGGGGAAGGTATGTGGCTGGTGTCCTGCCTTCCCCCTTAGGATTGTGGGATAGCAGTGGACCCTTTTATGCAATGTGTGCTCAGCTAAGGCTTGAGTTTGTGTCTTATGGTGTACCTAAATGTGAAAGTGATGCGTACAAGACAAGCATCTTAAGGGTCTGGAGAGATGGCTCGGGAGTTAAAGTGCTTGCCATACAAGTTTGACGACCAGAGTTGAAATCCCCAGCATGCACACAGAAGCCAGGCAGGCATGGAAGCCACCTGTAATTTCAGCACTCAGAAGACAAATAGACAATATTGTAAGGGCAACAGGAGTTCCAGGTTCAGCAAGAGACCTGGCCTCAATAAATAAAGCAAAGCTTGAATGGAAAAGGCATTCAGGGTTAACTTCAGGCCTCTATACACATGTGCACACACACACACACACACACACACACACACACACACACACACACAC